CACACACACACACACACACACACACACACACACACAACGGGGAGAGAGAGAGAGAGAGAGAGAGAGAGAGAGAGAGAGAGAGAGAGAGAGAGAGAGAGAGAGAGAGAGTGAGAGATGATTTAAAAATAACTGTCCTGTCAATTAGAAAATGTACATTTTTCACTTCGTGGATTTATTAACTGCTCATGCTCTTTGAAGACAACTGCACACCACATATATAGATGATGCAACTATAACAGATAAGTGGAGATGAGACTGTGGGCATGCCATTTGACCTTTTTGCTTCTCTATTTTTTATATGTAAAGTGAGGGGGTTGAAATAGATGACAGCAGTGTTTCTTTTCAGCTTTTCAAACTCCAAAGGATCTAGGAAGACTTACCTTCTTTTCTTAAAAGCCGCCATAAATTTGGAGCTCTAGGGAGGGAGGTAACAGGGCTTAGGAGAAAATAAGGATGGAAATTCCCTTTAAATGATGGTTTAAAAGGAATCTCTCTTATCCTAAAGCATAGGAACATCCATCAGGATACTGGGAGAGGCTGTGGGATGGAGGGATATAGAGTTTCTTATAATGCTTACAGTGGTTCTCAACCTGTGGGTCGCGACCTCTTTGGCGGTCGAACGACCCTTTCACAGGGGTCGCCTAAGACCATCCTACATATCAGATATTTACATTATGATTCATAACAGTAGCAACATTACAGTTATGAAGTAGCAACGAAAATAATTTTATGGTTGGGTCACAACATGAGGAACTGTATTTAAAGGGCCAGAAGTTTGAGAACCACTACTTTAGAACAAGACATGAGTGCAATTTATGTCAGGAAACTGGAAACAAAATTTTCACTCTATATGAAATCCCACAGGGAATCCTATTCTTACAAAAAAAAATAAATAACTTTGGAACAGGCCCCACACTGGCTGATGTGTTGGGCCCTGTAGGATGAGAAGGCCTTGCTTCTGAAGAGGTAGACATCTATCTGGAAATAATTCATTTATTCTTTTAAGAAACAGGAGATACAAAGTTTACCAGGTCCTTCTTTTGCATCTCCTTCTGACACAGACCAGCTTGCTCCCAGATTGCATATGCACATATAGTGATTTGGGTACTTTTTCTGGAGATCATGGCCCTACTCTACAACTTTGTGATTAATCAATAATTGAGATACTCCTCTTGCACATTTTGTCTCAGAAGACACACATCTCAGATGTCACGGATCATGGCTCACAATTTACTCAATACTTTGGGGCTTAAAGTTGTTGTTTTTATAATTGTGTTTCAGTATATTCTACATGTCAATTCTGAAAGTCGACATCTTGAAACTACAAAGTTTTTAAAAAATGATTTATGGTGGACAAGCAAAATTTCTCATCACATCAAATTTATCAATATACTTACAACATAAAAGCCTCAGTGTTTCAGTAAAAGATGGTGTAATGAGTCTAATAAAAAAGGAACTCGAATGCAGTTCCTTTCATAACAGTAGCAACATTACAGTTATGAAGTAGCAACGAAAATAATTTTATGGTTGGGTCACAACATGAGGAACTGTATTTAAAGGGCCAGAAGTTTGAGAACCACTACTTTAGAACAAGACATGAGTGCAATTTATGTCAGGAAACTGGAAACAAAATTTCCAATTTTTTTTTCTTATGTATTTATAAGCATCTGCTCTGACTTCTGCCTCTTAAAACTGTTGCTTATTTGTTTCAGCTTTAACCCTTAGAAATAGTGAGAGAATGATCTGGCTTGGAATGTTCATTAGTTTAACAGCAGGCGTCAAGTTAATCTCTTTCACACCGCGTGTTAGACTTACTTTACTCAGTATTTAAAAAGCTCTCTTGGAGGGAGCACTGTTGACCTAGAACTTGGGGTCTCTTAGGGTCATAAACCAGTCAGGACTCAGACTGAGAATGAGTTTGCCACATTTTTCTGAATCAAAAGGCAGCTGTCTTCTAGAGTAACCTTGGGAAAGTACTTTTTTTTCATCCTGGGTTGCAGATATAAACAGTAGAGGGCAGCTGCACTCGTTATAAATATCTCGTAAGGTAGGCAAAATGCTGTACTGTAACCCCTGTAGCCAGAAAGCTAGGACAGAGACGGCTTATGTGACCTTTCCAGAATATTCTGTTCACCCCAAGAAGCCCTGAGTAATTAAAACAGTGTTAACACTTCACACAGGAGGGATCAATTTACTCTGAATAGCCCAACGCCTTTTCTCACTTGTTATGGCACTCTGGCTCTGGACAAGGGAGGGGTGGAGACAGAGACCCAGTGAGGGGAGGTTGAACAAGGAGCAGTAATCTGAGAAGGAAAAACAAAAATAGAGTGGGGAATAAAGGGAGGAAAGAAAGAAGAGCAGGCTGTGGGAGGCCCTATGGCACTGGTTGGCAGTCCTGTGCTCAAAAGCCTCATAGAGGGCAGGTGGCTATTTCAGTCTGTTCCCATTACAGACATGGATTCTAGTGTTGCTCTGAGGGAGGGTGGAAACTGAAATTGACAACCACGCTTCGCGTCATGTTCTTTCTCATGAATCTACAGTGACTCCTACACTTTATTTTGCCTTTTAGGACCCTCTGATGTTCAGCTCCACTTTATCCTCCCCACGTGAGCTCCAGCTACGCCTCCGACCGTGTTCTCTAGCTAGGCTGTAAGCCCCATACCTACACCTCCTTTTCCTTATTTGGTTTTACCTCCTCTCTTCCTTTGCACATATCTAAAACACCTCCATCTCTGAGGTCAAGATATAATTTCTTTCATAATAATGACAACTTACATTGGCATAAAGCTTTATACCAAACACTTAAATATATACTATCATAGCCGAGCCATAGTCTCCCGCATCATTTCCTTGCCTATCTTAGCCTACATCCATCTCTCCCCTATTCTAGCTCCTAAAGCATTTGTTCACTGACCCAATTCTACTAGAATCAACCCCTAGGGATGGGAGGCTGTAGTAATCTACATTTTCACCAAGCTCCCCAGGAGAAACTGAGGAGTGACCTAAGGAGGCAGAATGTTGACTGTTGCCATTTACTTGATATTTTTCCATATGATTCCTACATTTTTTTACCATGACAATGTACAACTTGTATAACAAAAATTAGTTTGTGGAGATAGATATAATTCCCAGATGATTCTAATGATATGACAACCATAGGTCCATCTTAATCATTTGAACAGTGATTCAGGCACATACCTTCTTTCATGTTTTAGCTCTTCAACAAGGTAGAGAGGTACTCGAGACCAAGAACTAACCCTCTGCTTTCTCTCTCTCTCCAGTGCTAGAAATGCCAGGCTCAAAGCAGGTGCTCAGTAAATACGTGAATGGGTTTGATTAGACCCTTATTAAATAAGAAAAAATTTAATAAGGACATACATGGCATGGCACATTTGAAGAAAAAAAAAGAAAACGTTATAATTAGTGGGTTAAGGAACTATGTATTAAGACACCAAAAATACTCAGGTGGCTTAATAAACCACAGGATGACCACACATCAGCATCAGGGTTTTGCGTTAGATCTAGAAGCAAAGGATCTTGGAAGGCATCACTAAGCTTTTAGCACATAGAAACCCACAAGGTGGTTCGCTCTTTTTCTTTGGACTCATTCTTGAAGTAATGTGTTCAATTATAAATTCTACAGCAAAAGAAGAAATTTGAGTAGTTGGAGAGAGATAAGAAAAGAATCAAAACTCTCCTACATTCCTGATGGGAATGTGAAATGATGCAGCCACTGTGAGAAATAGTCTCAGGTTCTTCAAAAAGTTAAACATAGAGTTAGCACATCACCCAGCAAATCCACTCCTAGGAATAGACACGAGAATTGAAAATACATATCCATACAGAAACTTGTGCACAAATGTTCATAGCAGCATTCTTTACACTAGCCAATAAATAAACAGGATAGCCAATGAGTAAACAAAATGTGGTATAGCCAAACAATGGAATATTATTTGGCCATACAGAGGAATGAAATACTGAGCATGCTACAACATAAATGAACTTACCTTGAAAACATGCTAGTGAAAGAAACCAGACATAAAAGGCCACATATTCTACAACTTCATTTGTATGAAATATTCAGAATTGGCAAATCCATGGAGACAGAAAGTGGATTAGAGATTGCCACAGGCTGAGGGGAAAGGGGATGTGACTGCTAGTAGATATAGAATTCTGGAATTAGTGGTGATAATTGCACAATTCTAGAATATACTAAAAGTCCTGAATTGTATACTGTAAATTTTTAAAAATTGATTTTTAGAAAGGGGGGAGGGGGAGAGAGAGAGAGAGAGAGAGAGAGAGAGAGAGAGAGAGAGAGAGAGACATCGGTTATCTCCCATATGTGCCTAGACTAGGGATCCAACCTGCAACCTAGGTATGTGCCCTGACTAGGTATGAACCCATGACCTTCTGGTACATGGGATGATGCTCCACCCAACTGAGCCACACTGGCCAGGGCCTGAATTGTAGACTTTAAAAAGGTAAATGTATGATATGCAAATTATATTTCAATAAAGCTATTTTATTTAAGTAAAGGAAGAAAATCAAGGGGACATGGGGAGGGAGAAATCTAGGCAGCAGGATCCCCAGAGAATGTTTTGAAAGAAAGGAAACAAGAAAGCAGTTTTACTAAGAACTGCCTTTTTAGGCATAATTATCTTTTTAAATTTTTTTATTTAAAAAATGATGGCTAGCTGAGGAGAAAATTAAAAGACATAGACTATAAATACAGCCTGAGGGGGTTTTCTCACCAAGGGAAGTCAGAATAAGAGGTTTTTACATCTCTCTTTTTGGTGGAATTAAATAGTGCTTAAATAGGTTTTATAGGTACAAGATCATTTGTAGGAGCCTTTCCTTAAAGGGCAGAGGGATGAATCAGATGACCTTTCATGGTCTTTGCTCTTTCTCTCGCCCTCAGAACACTCAAACACTCAGCGTTGGATATACCACATGGCCTCCAGGCACGTAGTCTCGGAGAAATAAAAGAGGAGACACTTCTGTGCCTTGAAAAGTTTTATTTGGTTTCTATATTCAGTCATAAACACACAGTTCTCTTGAGACTGTCAAAGTCTCCTCCTCTAAACACTTAACTTTTTATTTAAAAAAAGCACACACACACACAAACACAACTTCAAGCTGCACTTCTAACCTATTATTTCAGTTGTTTGTGTAAAGAAAGTAAATTCAGGTTATGTATAGCTACCTCTATACATGTTATTAATATGAATACATAGAATGTACCTGGCCTGGTAAATAGTTTTAAACCTCTATAAGCCTTTGAACTCAGTTTTATTTTAAAAATAAAATATCATCCTCACTCTAGTTTCCCAGGATGAAACCCTGTCTTCTCAGCCCTCCCATAGCCTCCCCATACTCCTTGCTTTAGGAAAAAACAAGTACCTGCTTTTGGTCCACTCAGCATAATCTTCCTCACTCTCTGCCTGGGACCCAGATTCCCATGAAATAAAATAACGTGAGGGACACGATTAAAGCAAGGAAATCTCTTCTTGGCCCTGTCACCAGATTCAGGGTCCGACCCTTTCTAGTCTTTATTCTCTGATCAGGTTGGATAGTGCTTCATTTTATGGCAAAGTTTATGTCAGCATCGATGCTCTCGGTTTCACCATCCCACCTTTGACAACATCCATTCATTGAGTAAACACAGAAATGGAAACCTTTCTATTTTGGGTGAGTAACTTAAGACTTAAGTCTCCATTTCCAATATGCTCAAATGTCTTAACCCAACAGCATGCTTACTGAGTAATGGGTTGTGGTCTTAGGACCAGATGTCACTAAAACTTGATTATTTGTTGAGAGCATTGACGACAGAGAGTTCCTTGCCAAGACATGAAGCAGTTCCCCTCCTCAGTAGGGGGTCCTGCTCCCGCCCCGCTAAGCTAGGGCATGGTCAAACTGCCCTTTCTCCAGGCCTTCAAGTCCATCAGCCCAGGTCGAGGTTGGCATGCTCCGATATGGGTCCAGAAGAATCCGGAAGCACCTGACGATGAGGACGCCCAAGAAAATAAACAGCAAAATCACAAAAGCAAACGTGGTTTTTTGCTCCAGAGACATGCTAGAATCTGACAACGAGTTCCCGAAGGGCACTGGGGGCGAAGGGACGGGCTGTCCTCCATCCATCGTCCAGGGAAGCCAGAGCGCAGGATCGCCCAGTGTCCTCTCCTTCCATTGTCAGTCTGCTGAGATCATGGTGCTTGCACCTTGGAGAGGCTGAGTTCTCTGCAGGAAGAAAGAAAGAGGGGGGAAAGGAAATAGCTAACAAAGAGCAACTTTATTTCTAGACTCACAATCATGTTCTTCAGAGAGAAGAAGGAATCTCTAAATGTTTTCACTGGAGATCCCTAATTCTCTATAATTATACAGAGGAATATTTTACTCTTGAATGAAATTACCACGTTGTCCCCAGAGGAGCCACCTGGGGCCAGGAGGGATGGGCAGGGAAGGTAACCAGAGCACAGAAAAGGAGAAATGTGGACCTCAAGGTGTGCTTGCCAACTTGACATCCAAACCCAGCCTCCATGCCAAGTCTCATCTAGATTCTCTCCAATAATATTATTCTTACATCCTCCCTATAATGATACCATTGATTGAACACCATGCATTAGCCACCCTACTATAAGCACCATGAAAGCAGAGACCTCTATAGCCTCAGTGCAAGGAAACTGAGCCTAGAAAAGGGGTTTGCCCTGGCCAGTGTGGCTCAGCAGTTAGAGCATTGGCCTATGCACCAAAGGGTCGCAGGTTTGATTCCCAGTCAAGGGGATGCAGCTTGGTTGCAAGTTTGATCCCTGGCTCCAGTTGAGGTATGTGTGGGAGATAAACAATTAATGTCTCTCTCATATCAATGTGTGTGTTGTTGTTTCTCTCTCTCTCTCCTCCCTTCCTTCCTTCTACTCTCTCTAAAAATTAATGTAAAAAATATCCTCAGATGAGGGTTGACAAAAGAAAAGAAAGGAAAAGGAAAGGAAAAGAAAGGAAAATGAAAGGAAAGGAAAGGAAAGGAAAGGAAAGGAAAGGAAAGGAAAGGAAAGGAAAGGAAAGGAAAGGAAAGGAAAGGAAAGGAAAGGGGCTCAATGTAGAAACTCTCTCAGGGAGCATCAGGTCCTGGGCTCTAGCCTCTGGCCTCAACTTTATTACTAAACTAGAGGCCCAGTGCACGAATTCATGTACCAGGGGGGTCCCTCAGCCTGGCCTGCAGGATGGGGCCGAAACCTGCTCTCCAACAACCCCTGAGGGGTCCCGGATTGCAAGAGGGTATATGATCCCATTGGTGCATGATCAGGGCCAGGGAGGGACACAGGAGGCTGGCCAGCCAGGAAAGGACTGCAGGAGGGCTCCAGGGCGTGTCTGGCCCATCTCGCTCAGTCCTGATCGGCCGGACCCCAGCAGCAAGCTAACCTACCTGTCGGAGTGTCTGCCCCCTGGTGGTCAGTGCACATCATAGTGAGCGGTTGAGTGGTTTGAGCATATCATTAGCATATTACGCTTTTAGTATATAGGATAAGTGTGGGACCTTGGAGAGGTCAATAAACTGTAAAGATGGAAGAAGTGCCTGTGTATCTCCTATTGCTATAATGAGGATGAATGCCTTTGAAAAGTACACAGAGAAGAACAACGAAGTGTTGCTTCACTTAGGACATGACTAAGAGCTGCGGTGCTTCCTCACTTTCTCTTGCCTGAGCCAAGAGAGAAAGGAGGCATCTCAGACTTCCTGCTTTTCTCTGCAGAAAGCCCAGGCCAGGTTCAATACCCAACCCTGGGAAGCACTCAGAGAACTGAGCTAGGAAAAAGGAGTTGATTGACTGCATTCTTGTTAAAGCTTACAGTGGCTTCCTACTGTTTAAGGCAATCTGGTGGAGAGAAAAAGTAGGACATTTTACTGGTGGGAAAAAATTAAGGATTATGGGTATTACTGTTTGTCTTTCAAGACAAATTGAAGTGTACACAAAGACCACTAAAAGCTCCAGATATTGAACTCAATCTATTTAACTCAAACTGTGTAAAGAAGAGCATCTATATTACACATTGCTATATAGAAAAATCATATGATGCATTTATTAATAAATCTGTCTATTGGAAAAATTACATAGAAGAGTAGTCAGGTATGAAAATTAACATGGATTCAAAAAATCATGCTCAATGAAAATAAGCAACCAAATAAAACTAGAAATTATGACCTAAGGCATTAATGCTGTATTTCTTCAGCTAACTTATAATCATCACACTGAAGTATGGCTGTAGTTATCACAGCAGTTTGCATGAACGTTGACACTTCACAGTTAATAAAATCACAGTTTTAAAAACCAGCTTATAAAGGGAATGACAAGCAGTAAGTGGGAGGAAGGAGTTACCAGTTTGGAGGAAAAGAATATTTTGCAGTTCCATGACTGAATTTTTTAAAAAATTCAGACTGAAATAGTTGCAATGGATTCATTTATGCTTCATTTTTATTTTGAAGTAAGACTGGGATAAAATTTGACTGTATTTTTTAAAAGATAAGCTCCTTAGGACTATAGAGGACATTCATGGGTTGGGCTTGGTTTGGGTTTGCTTGGGTGCTAACCGCTAGGTAACTGGGGCTGTGGGAAGCGGGCAGGACATGTGGCCAGAGTTTCCAATGCAGCTCCCCTTACTGCTCTGACTGGGGCCGCCTGGACCCTCCAAAGTGCCCAGGCTGGGCTTACTCATCCCCAGTGCAAAAGTCTCCCAAGCCTGGGTCAGAAGAAAGCCATGTAGTGGCAGAAGAGTAGATGTCCTTGCCAGGTTCCCTCTTGCCTTTTCCTGTCCTTCTGAGGGTCCCCACACTTCCACCCCTGCCCTCCTGCCCACATACTAGGTCCCAGTCTAGGTCCATTTCCCCAAATGAGGGCAGAGTCCTTCTTTGTCTATTCCCAATACAGGTTTGCATTTTCAGAAAATCCCTTATGAAAACATGGCATAAACCAAAAAGGAAATATAGAAAAAGTTAAGATCATTAACTGTACATCAGGGGTAGGGAACCGTTTTTCTGCCAAGGGCGGTCTGGATATTTATAACATCATTCACAAGTCATACAAAATTATCAACTTGAAAATTAACCTGCTGTATTTGGTCAACATTTCATTAACTCACCCCTAATGCCTTGGCAAGGCCAGACCAAATGATTCCATGGGCCTTACGGGCTGGACGTTCCCCACCCCTGGATAAATGTACAATATAGATTCCTAGATTTGTGGAATTCAAAGTAAAGAATGGGGTATAGGGCCTTTTGAGCCTGTGATAATTACTCCCTATCCATGGGCTGGCTGACCAGGATAGCAATACCTTGTTCAGCCCTCGCTTCCCACCCTGCACCTCCGCCTGATAAGAGCCATGTTGACACCCAGGTGCAGTTTTCCCCAGCGTTGTCCTGAGCACAAGGCAAATGTCAAATTCTTTTCTCCTATCGCAACATCTCATACTTCCTAGGCTTTCCCCACAACTCAGGTTTTAGAGCTGATACACTATTCATTTGGGGTCTTCAGTGATGGACAACCATCCCAGGAAGCCCCAGCAAATAACCTCATCATCTGATTCCGATTAGAATGATTTAAAAATCAGTTTTAATTTGCAGTTTTACCACCTATTCTGATGAAAAGGCTGATGCGAGGATATGCTTAACCCTCTTCGCAGCCAGATTATGTGTTTTGACGATTCTATAGTTCTTTATACATTGCAAGCCTCTTCCCTCCCAGAAAACTGTGGTGCCCAAGTCCCTATTAAAATTACTTCATTTGGTCAAACCACTAAAGGATATTAAATTGTAATAGTCCAAGGAAAGTGACACATTAGTACCGTAGGCATTTGTCTATGAAAACTGTTCCTACTTGAAGGATGGGGAAACGTGGTTGATAAAAGGGGATTGAAGGGAGATCTGGCTGGGAGTGAGGCTGCTGGAGAGGACCAGGGGGAGCAGGTGATCCAGCAGGAGAGCCCTGGGGAGTGGAGATGATGGGCACAGATGAGAAAATAGGAAATGGTTTAAAGGGATTTGGGGACACAGAGATCTGGAAAGAAATGCCAGCTATTTCATAGTTTTGCCCAGCTCTGATTGAGATCCTTGGAAGAGCCTGCTTTTCTTTTAAAATCCCACAATCAGCTAATCAATAATTTATAAATTTGGAAAGTTCAACAGCATGTTTTAAGTTAAAGGAAACATCATCAGATATAATAAGATGCACAAAAAGAACTACATGTAACCACAGTACAAAAATATTAAAAGAAACACACACGTGCATTTAAAAAATGTCCATCCTAGACTAAAATGTCCCTTTCGGTACAAACGGTTCTTAGGAAATGTTCACAATTGCTTTTAGCGGAATAATGAAATCTTTTTTTAGATAAATAGTGAAATCTGGGCAAGTAAATTACTGCCGGAGATTCTGACACAACCCTCCTGCATTAATAATAACAAAGGCAGTTATTTTCAGGATAAGAAGGAGCAGTTACTTGCAGCAGCACTTCAATCCTGACTGCCTTCCGCCTCCTGCAGTACCTCCGTGTCTTTCCTTTGCTAATCCATTTGTGTGTGCTCGGAAAATAAAGTCTAATTTTAATACCGGACCAAGGAAACCTTAATTAAAACATGCCATTAAAAAAAAAAATCCTATAATATATCTCTTTTCTCAAGTCAGGCTCCCTGGACCCTGATATTCACAAAGTGTAAAAATACCTTGAATTACTTACAAAGACCCATGTGAGCAGTCCACTTAGCCACAGCCGTTCTCACTATTAGCCACGCGCTTCAGGGTAATTTGCAAAGAGGCTCTCTCTCCTTCCCATCCTTCCTCCATCCCACATCAGGATTCATCTTTCTGTGCTCAGATCTTACCTCTCCTCCCGTCAGAAAACCTCTGTCCTCCAATGGCTAAGACCCTAGCCCTCCCATTAACCCCCTTTTGGACCTGATACCGCTGTTTTCCGGATCACAAATCAGGTCATATCCTGACAATAGAATTGTTCTAAGATATTAATATATTTTCACAATAAAAAAAAAAAAAGGAGCCAACATCAAATCACATTTGGCTCTGAGTGAAATGACCATCGTATTGATAAGAACAAACCGACATGTAATCGAATCTGCAGACACCTGGGGAGAAAGCCTCACGAAGCCTGCTCTGCAGCTTCACCCAGCACCTGCTGCTGCTGGAGCACCTCCAGCTTCCCACCTATGAGCTTCCAGTCGTGCTGCTCTCCTCACCCTACTCCCACCTGTGGGCCTCTCCTTTTCCCCCAGGGGCCGCATCGAACACCACCTCCCCAGTGGGACCTACATCTGCCCCTTCACCAAAGGGAACGGTGCTTTTGCTCTGCCTCCAGGAGCACTTCACCTGCGTCTCTGCTGCAGCACCTCTTACAGGACATCTCCATGGGTTTCATCTCCTTCCCCTTCGTCAACAACAGGCTCCTTGGGGAATTCTTGCTGTTCTGGGATCTTTGCCTCTTTCAATAGAGACTGACTCAAACCTCTAGCCCCTTACAGTCCGGGGAACTGGATTCAAACTTCAGGGTCTGGCTGACACAGACAGGGGGTAAAAATAAGATGTCAGACCACTGTGTTTGAAATAGAGGTTGTTTCCAAGAATCACAGGTAGTCTGAGTCACAATGGCCCTTTAATAGCCACAGATCTCGTGATTTGAAAAGCAGTTATTCAGCCCTTTAAATCTTCCTTGATCTCAATGCTGATTGGTGGGATCCAGAATATAAAAATCAAGTGGAGATAAGCAGGTTCCCTCTATGAAAGCGGTTAGACCTTTCTACCCTGATCTGCTTCTCTGGTCTGGAAGGGCAGCCATTTAAAATATCCTGAGTGCAAATGTCTTGCATGGAAACTATAAATGTCAACATGTACCTTCTCAAGCTTGGGACCTTCCTTTGGCCATTTCATTTCACCAGCATCTCATGAAACAATGTCACAGTAAGGAAACATTTGATCTGAAGAAAATATATCCTTAAAGCAATGACATGTTTCTTTTCATTTTTGAAGTGACAGTAGTAGGATCGTTAAGTGCATTTGGCAAACACGCTGGCATTTCATTCCGCCGTCTCACTTTTGTGGTCATCGGCCGAGTGCCCGCCCTCCTGCGGTCGTTTGCAATAACAGTGGCTGCAGATGCAGCGCATGTGCAGACCCGCCTGGCATAGTAAGTGGTCAGTAAACCAGCAAAGACGAATGAGTGTATTCTCTTTAGGCCATTTTTGTGCAAAACAAGATTTATTTCTGACTTCTGTTATGCAAGTAAGCACACAAAGCAAGAGAGATTCTAAGTAAATTGCCCCAAATAAAAAGAAACATCCGTTACCAAGAGAGCAGCATCCCCTAAGGATGCTGCATCGCAAGTTTCTCTCTGGTACGTTGGAGCGAATAGAAAGTCGTCATCTCTCGCCCGCTACTGGCATGCAGGGTGCAGTTAAGATACGCTGTCTGTATTTAAGTACTCCTCAACCACATAATTGCTGTTCCTGCTTTTTTAAAACTTCTAGGCCAGAAACCTAGTTATGTGACTTGACACGTTTTCAAAAGTAGGTGTAAAAACAGTCCGTCCATTGAGCAAGAACACTCGCACGCTTGTCCAGTTTACTTCCACATGTGTCAGACAGGATGCTTTGTCCTGCAAAGACACCCTGTGTGCCCTATGTATATTTACCCAGCAGACTAGTGAGCCCAGTCTTGGGCTGCCACGGGAAGGGAACTGACTAGGTGAGCAGGACTGAATCTGCAACAACTGGCAGACAGCCTTACTCAAAGTGCGGCATTATTCTGCCACAGTTCTGAAGCTCACTGTTGAAATGTTAACGTGGCTTTCAGTGATTAAAATAATACATGCCCTGAGACTGATGCTCAATAGAATTATTCTCTACTTTCGGAGCTAAAAGAAGCCTCGGCTGCATGGCCGTTTACATAACTGGCGCCTCAGGAAGTCCACCCCCTCCACTCCCCACCCTCCCACAAGACATGTGAACATCCTAGTCAATGCTATTGTACCTCTTTCCCCACAAAATCCACCTCATCATCTAAGCAACCAAATCACTTATAAGCAAATGAATCTGGCAGATATCTATGACTCTTGCAGAAATTCTGTGTGTGAGCCCTGTGAACAGTAACTTGCATTCCAGGAGATACACTCAAAGCTGCAAAATGTTTCCTATAAATTCAAGCAATGTGTGGCCCTCTTGGTGACCAGCCAAGAACTTCCGGGAAAGATTTCCTGGCTCTTTCCAGGTACTTCGTGCATTTTAACCACCCCCTTTTTCGACTCATAAATACATGGCAACTTCCATATTCCTCTTTTTCCAAATACAGCTCCCCTGTTCCAATACAATAGCCCTGGTGCTTTCGAATCCACAGGATGGCTAAGAGTAAATATTATTTTACACACTCAGATAATAGAACCAAAGCTACTAGGAAGCCCATAAACGCTGATTTTAAAGACATGTGAATGTGGTCAGCTACAAATGTCAACAGGCAGTTTCGGAACTGTTGCCAGCCCCCACTGCTGCATGGGGAGGTCTGTTCCCTCTGGCCAGCCGGGCCGTCTGTCTCTGCAAAGTCAGCCTGCAGACAGGTCGGCTTGGGTTCGGGAGTGGACCCTGCCGGTCCCGGACTTGTCAGCTCTGAGTCAGCAGGAGATTTTTCTCTTCAGCCTGAGCCCTAACCTCAGCTTTACTTCTTCCCTAGCTTCCTCTTCTTCCTAACATCTGCTTGAAGAGTCTTAAAGGGACAGAAGGGCAAGGCTGCAGCCTAGCTGAGAACATCAGGAAAATACCACCCAGTCTCAGTCAGTAACTGGGGGTCGCAAAAGGCACCCTTAGCAAGCTGGGACTTTTAACTTCAGGCAACAAACATTACTATGCTGCCCCGTTTTCCTTACGTTTCCTAGTGAGAAGGAGTGCCTGCTGATACGCAAAGGGCTAAGGCTGCACACTGCTCATCACCCGGGGACACCAGGGACAGTCAGCACTGTCGTTACGAGTTGTTGAGTTGCGATCCTTTGTAAACAAATTAAAACATCCCCATTGCATTTTGGAAGGCAGGATATTTGAGGTAAAAGGGGAAAAAAATACTGTCATGGCCAAATAGCTTTCAAGAATAAAATTTACTGCAGCTTACCCGAGAAATAAGTCTGTTTTACTGCTCCTTTATCCAGTGTCAGTAGCATTATAAACTTAAGCATGCTTTAAAAAGAAAGGCATCATGACATTTCACCGCCTCCCCCACATTAACTTCACCTAGCAGCTGTTTAATTACACTTTATCCGACAGCGAGCTCTGAATTCAGAACTGAGATCCAAAGGGCATCTATGCAATTATTGCTCATGCACAAATTGTAAAGTTAGAGAGAAACGTATAACTAGCCTGTCACAGACACAGTTTCGGTCAGGTACCTGAGTCTGGCTGAACAAACACTTGATCCATTTCCTGGTGGAACAGTTACAGGTAGTTACAAGCTTCTTTAGTTTCCATTCTCCCGACCAGGCTGTGTTAAAGCAGGAGACGGTGGGAGCCGCAGGCAGCTGGTGGCACACCCCAGATCTAAAGCTGTTGTTTCAGGCTTAGAAACTTCCCATTAAAAGCCTCGAGTTAAAGGAGCATCGTCTTTCTGGGTGAGGCATCATTAGCGGCCAACACGGCTGCTTCTCTGAGGCGAGCCATGATTTCAGTTCTGCCTCAGCAACTCCTCCGAGGATTCTGCTTCAGTGAGTAGAGGCAGTATCCTAGCAGTATGTCTGAAATCATCCCCAAGAAAGCATTAACATTCAAAAGGAGTACGAGGGCGGAGGGGGAGCATCACAGGGCATTCCCATACCTTTTCAAAATCAAAGCCATAAATCTACCAGGGTTCTGCTCTTCCCTATTGATTGTGGACACTGCCCCTCTTTGGGGATGTCAGTGAGCACCTTGCAGCCACCAGCCTCCATATTGATTATGGCTTATGACCTTCAGGCCAACTTAATGAATGGGAAGACTTCTAGGGAAGGGCATCAACTTAGCATTTGGGAGTTGAAGAAAAAAAAGTCTTTTCCTAAAGAAAATGAAACTGACCTTTCAGAAAAGCAGCAATTATGGGAAGCAACAAGAACAATTAAAAAAGAACAAAATCATATCTTCACCACCTGTTTGTAAATTTGCCAGGCTGTAGGTTGCCTGTCCAGTGTCTCCTTGGTTCAACCTGCATAATTGTGACCTTGGAGGTTCCCCACCCCACACAGGCCATCTGAGACCACTTGATGAATAAAGATAGACCTTGGTTGAGAGAAAGTTGTTCCAATTCTGCAGATAGTAGTTACATGGTGCAATACTTAAACTATTTTCCTTGGGTAGAGTGCCTAAGTAAATTTAGAAAATATTTTAGGATAAAATTTATCTTTTTATAAAAAGTGCTCCTCTGGGAAGAATTCAGCATAATCCTTAAGTTGGAACATCCTTGTTTTGTGGCAACTCACCACTTTCTTTGTTGAGGTGGAAGTGTAGTTAGAGACAACACCACCCACCACTGATGGGGTACATGATACTTAAAGCTAACTCCGACTCTGGGCTCTGCTGTCTCTTCAGCTGGTATGAGACGAAGGCCATTGCCCAGCAGCGTTAGGAGACTGGAACACAGCTCATTTTCTAAGAGGGAAAAACCCCTGTGCTGGCAACAGAAAACAATCTTAGACAGGCCTCAGACCCAAGAAAATTCAAATACTGAATGTTAGGCTTTAAAGTCAGAATCTAATACCTAATATTAGACTCTTACCTCAGAGGACATGAAGGTCTTTTCCCCATTTATGTTTTCTGGATTTTTTAAAAATATGTATTTTTGTTGACTTCAGAGAGGAAGGGAGAGGGAGAGAGAGATAGAAACATCAATGATGAGAGAGAATCATTGATCGGTTGCCTCCTGCACGCCCCACACTGGGGATTGAGCCTTAACACATTAAGCACCCAGCCTGTTTTGTCTTCCAGACAGAAAGTATAGCGTCAGTCACCGGTGACTGACATGGGGCTTAACGTGTTAACTTGGGCGTGTGCTCTGACTGGAAAGCAAACTGTGACCTCCTGGTTCATAGGTCAATGCTCAACCACTGAGCCACACCCACCAGGCTGTTTTCTGGATTTTTAACTGAGTTTCCTTTCCAATTTGTTTTGCTTACTGTATTTTCACACACACACACACACACACACACACACACACACACACACACAATACAATGGGACAAATAAAATCCGACAGAGCAGTATCATTTAATACTAACTGGCATCCTCTGTGCTTCTCCGCAGACGGTGCTGGTAGGTGGAAGACCCTGTCTCGGTAATGCCTACAAAGTGAGGTTCAGGGAACACTCTGACCCCACTCTCCCTTATATACTTATCACTCCATGTGGCCAGAAAGCACTCTAGTTAGGAACAACTGACCCTGCCCAGGAGGCCTCCTCTGATACTGTTTTGGCCTGTAGACTCAGAGAGGTGGAAGGGAACATGAGCGGGCAGTGGCTGTCCTCTAGCTACTCCGCAGGCTGAAGCCATCCCAGAGAGATGAGCGCCTGGCCTATTTTTAAACTCTCCAGAGAAGTAGGCTCCACCACCCCCTCTGACAACTTCTGTTTAAACTAACTCCTCCATTGCTTACTTAGTCTAAATAAACCTATTTTCCTTTCATTCTACCCTGGCTGCAAAACCCCCACAGTCATTAACTGACACAAAACCTTGTTAGAATGCTCTTCCCCAAAGGAAACTGAACCAAACAAACCAAAAAGCCTCAGGCAAAGATCTGCTGATACCAAGATCTGCAGCTGAGTTTGGATATTTCTTTTATAAGATAATTATAATTGGATTATTGCAGTTACATTATGTGAATCATCATGAATTCTGAAACAATGAGTAAGGGTTTAGGAAAAGTCTAGTTCTTTGACTATTTCATAGTAGGTCCTATTTCTTTAGTCTTTAATCATCTTTAAAGCTCTTTTGTGAATTCTTCCTTAAATTTTTGCCTTCTGGCCCAGGTTTTAAATGGAGAGCCTAGACTGCTGCACAGAGCTGTATACAGCTCAGACTAAGGTGGGATTGTGATGAAATGGGATGGTCCCACAGGTTATACCTGCTATGCTTCTCTTATCCATTCTGATCTCTCATTATTCCTGTGTGTTAATTCAGTCTTTCTTTCTAACCACACAACATCAGGACTTCAGCTAGTTAGAAGTCTATTTTAAGAACTTTCCCTACATTCTAATTTCAAGTCTCACCTGTCATGTACTTTAGGTTACAGTTCTTTCCTAAATGTCCTACGCTGCACTTTTCCATGAAGAAATAGACAATGAATATGAAAAAGGCTTCATGAGTCACCAAGATTTATGCCATTACAGGCAGTGTTATTATTATCATCATTGTCTTTCTTTCTGACTCTGCCTAATTCTCAAAATAAAATTGAATCCATTCTTGGTATAATCTTCAATATGTAATTATGATTTCATTTTCATCATTACATTCTTTATAAAAATCTTTTCTTCCTTTGTGTAGATTTTTTCTTTCTCATATTCAAGAAACATTAGGTTCATTAATTTAAGTATCAGTTATGTTCTGTGTTAGGTATTGCAAAGGATAATTGTTCAGGTTGTGCAATTCTAGAAGGCTCCCTGGTAAGGGCCCAGCAGCACTCAACTTCCAGCAATGGTTGCTAAGCTTCTTGACTAACCCACCCACACTATTTTCCACTTCCTTACCCCCCTTTACTGCTCACCAGCAGACAGCTGAATTGTGTCCTCAACTCTCAAGGTCATCTGTGGCTTCCAGTTGTCTCAAGCTAAAAAGGAAAAAACCCGTCAGCGTTTATCTTCCTTGCTCCTCGTGGAAACATTGGACATGGCTGACCACTCTTTTCAAGGAATGTCCAGTGAAAGAATACACTGGGTGATGCCTATCTGCATATAAGTGGTTTGGTTGATCCTCCCCTCTTTCCTCTGAGGATTACTGTGGTAGTCTTGATTATATTAATAATGTTTTCTGCATAACTTTAATAAATTGACACATTAATTAAAGTAGCATTCCTATATGTTAAAAAAAAGAAGAAGAAGAAAAAGAAGAATACACTGGGTAAGGTGAAATGGCAGGACCTTTGGGTCCCCTTGTGCCTTCTCCCTTCATAGTCTCTCGTTTGCCTTCCAAGGTGAAAGCCAAGTGTAATTCATGTAACTAGCAGTCAATGTGAAGTTGAGGGTAGGATATCCCTTAGTGACTCCACCTCTTTTAATTCATAAAAAAGAAGCGGAAGTCAGTGTATGTGTAATATTTTTATTTTTCTGTCTTCTAAGTTGTTTAAAAAATATCATGTAATATACAGGGGTTTTTTCCCATCAAGATTAGTTCAGTTTCCAATATCCCTTTGACTTGCCAGGTCTAAGTATGAGCATATTTATCCGCTTAGCTATCTTCACAGGCCAGTGGACCTGTGGGGGGAAACGGCAGGCCACAGTGGGGATGGTTTAATAATAGTCACACCAAGCCTATAAATTAGAATCTATATTCAAACATTATTAAAACCAAGCCGCCGTTTAAAGTCCAACTGCAAATTGGAAGCCTCCTGGTTTGGTCTTTTCTGGAATATACTTCTGTGATATGTTGAATGCTCAACTAGTAGCTGATGAATCTGGACAGAGAAGTATGTGAAATGAAAATGAGGAGAAAACAATGGTGCACTCAGTGGAAATATATTTGAAAAAAAGAAAACACTGATAGAATGTAATACTCGTGAGGATTACAAATTGCCCTACAAATGAACGAGTTTGTTCATTCCTTCCTTCTTAAGTCAAACATCAGAAAGCCTACAGGGAGGAAGGGCATCGTGCTCAGGAGGAAGCCAATGTCCACTCCTAAGAAGGAGCAACTTCACAAAATGTCCCACAGTCGTTCTATTTAGAAACAGTGTCTGCAAAATTTTAGTTGTTAATTCTAATTGTAGTTTGAAAGGATAAGAGCATCACTATGAATTATTCACTGTTCCAAGGAAATTCATACTGAAGTTAACAGCCTAGTGGGGAAATTTATTCTTTTTAAATGACTGGTACAGTAACAACAATTTTTTAAAATGACTTTGAAATACTTAATGCCTTTAAAATGTCATGGAAAGTGCCAATTAAGGTTTTATACAAATCCCTCCAAATTTTTATGCTGTCATTTTGGCATCATTCTTTCTGTTTAATGGCTGCATTTTAGAAGAGAAACTATACTGTGTGGACAGTTAGAGGATTAAGCAGCTTACAATATTAAGATGATTTAGAAAATGAAATAGCATGTACCTGAGAATTATAGCTGACAAAATTCTGGATCTAAAAATCTTGCCACAAAAAAAAAATCAATTTGAAAACAACCAGAGGAGAAAACTAATCATATGGAGCTGTTAAGAAAATACTTGTTTAAAAAATTATGGAAAACCAATCTTCATTTATGATATTTAAACTTATGGAGATGGTGGAAAAGAGGCTGAGGAAATGGTCATAAACAGAAGTTATGATATATGGTCAGTGAATGGATATTCCAGCTGCCTCAATGCTACATCTTATGAATAATGCCATCAAGTTGCTGCTTTAAAAAAATTTTAATTTATATATATTTCAATATTTCAATGAGATCAACCAAAAGTTCTAGTCATATAGCATATGATTTTTAAAAGGCAGATTTAAAGGTACATCTTTCTCTTCCAATTCTGTGTTCAAAACTGAAAGGGGCGGCCTCCCATCTACAATTCTGCCTGTAAATAATATATATTTTATATTTATATATAGTAAAATCATCTGTATTTCTGTCATATGTAATATTAAATTACCTCAGG